TGATTGTAAAGTGCACGTGATCACAAGCCATAAATCCACGAAACACTTGAACAAAAGAATGTTTTATCAAATTTCTTGAATAAGATTAGAAGGTAGAATCTTAAATAGATAAAAATCATAAATCTTTCTTGGTTATCCACTAATATTCCGATCCGTCAGTCGGTATCTTCAACCTTGAACCCACGAACTCAAAGAAACCTTGCTCTGTTACTACAAGGAGTTGTGAAACGACTATAATGTCGAATTTTGATGAGAAAATCATGATACAGGCATTCCATGTATAACTTCAATAGCATCAAAATCTACATACATGCACTCATTCTTTCTTTTATATCTAGTGTTTCATTCAATACTTCTATCAACGTACATACTAGTCTCAATTATAAACACAGGACAAATAAATGCACATATTAGACACAATTAGTTCATCTATTTGCATGCTCAAATAAGCTCAATTTGCTCATAAGCAACCAAATTGTTAGTCTCTATCTCAACACTATAATAGCTCAAATGCCCAAAAATCTCGGGGGGCGGACCTACACGAGGCCTAGTGGGGGCCGCTGCCCCCACTCAATTTTCAGATTTCCCGATTTTTCTTCAAATTTTTAGATTTTTTTAGTTTTTATTCTCCAGGTTTTTTTAGGTTTTCAGATTTTTTCCAAGGTTTTTTGGTTTCGCCCCCACTGAACTTCCTTCCTGGGTCCGCCCCTAAAAATCTCAATAATAAATGGAGTCCAATTCATCTAGGGATTACAAAAAAGCTCGCCAGCTTGAGCGGCTCGGGCTCGGCTAGGAAAAAGCTCAAGCTGGGCGGGCTCGGGCTCGGTTACACCAAGCCAATTTTCGGGCCGAGCCTCATTTTTTTTGGCCGGGCTTTACTCAGCTTGGCATGGGCCCAAAAAAGCTCGGGCTGCGTCGGAGCTTTTTTATTTAATTTATAGTATATATAAACTGTACAAATTTTAAATTTTTTAAGTAAAAATGTAGATTTGACATTAAAAAAAAAACCCGAACGGCTCGGCCCCCTCAGGCTCGGGCAGAAAGCTCGGCCTAAAAAAGCACAAGCTGAGCCCGAGCTTTTTTTCCGGCTCGGGCTCGACTCGGGTCGTTGACATAGCTAAATTCATTTCAATACTTCGAAGGGCATAACATATTGTGAAATGACTTTTCATGCATATTTTCTCAACACATAAACTCAAATTTCACAAAAATCTCAAAAACAATTGAAGCCAATTCATCTCAATACTTCAAAGGGCATAATATAATATGAAATCACTTGCACGTATACTTTCTCAATAAATAAGATCGCCCAGTACTCAATAATAGTTTCATTAAATACTTCAAAGGGCATAAAATAGCATATTGCATAAACCGTAAAATTACTCACAAACTTTATTGGCTTTGCTTGCTTGGACCTGAAAATAAGGTTTTCCCAAATTAAAAGGCATAGGAGGAGGCCTTAAGTTAAAATCCGAAAATAGAGGTACTGCATAGAAATAACTTAAGAAAATAGTGGATCGGGATAGTTATATGCCGTATGTTTCACTGCATAAAAATGTGATGCCAAAATCTTTCAAAAAATGGATTTTCAGTGTATCAGTATCCTCATCACAGTATCTTCTTCCTTATTCAAAAACAGAAAAACATTTATCAAAGCTTTCTCTTCTCTTCCACCATGACTTTGCTATCCGAAGTGTTGGTAATTTTTTTACTCTCTGACTCACCTATCAATTATCCCCTACTGCATGAACAAGACTTAGCTCTTGCATAAAGCCATGATCTGGTTGGTAATCTCATCAGTGAAGATCCTGCGAAAGTCCAATCGTCATCTCGCAAAAGAGATGATCGTGAACCCCCAGAGCAACCGAAAACTCACTACCAACTATTGTGTATGTAACTACACAACAAAATGACCCCATTCATCTCACACTAATTCTTGTCTGCCAATTCATAACACCAAATCCAAACACCACCAACACAAACAGAAAACTTCATACCAAAATTGATAAATGGGTTCAAGAACATGTTGGTTATCTTGCCAACGAATACCTCGCCTCCACCAAATACATCACACCAAATCCAAACAACAGCACATAAACAAAAAATTTCTGACTAAAACTAATAAATTCATTGCCTGGCGAAAGTTTAATATCATTCAGGGGTTGATCATCGGAACATTCTGAAGAAATCCTAAGACTCGATATTGGCTTAGACACGACCCATGCAGTATTAGAAGCACTTAAAATACATAGACACAAGATTTACAAGAATGCGAATTCACAGTAGGGGCAACAGGAGAAATATCTTCACAAGGATGAAGATAAATATCATTGCAGACTTCTTCACCAAACAATGTCCATAGCAGCTCTCCATTTTTTTGAACCAAATTGTGCCTTCAACCCAGCATAGTTTGTGAGATGATGTTAACAATGTCACACAACATGGCAACCAAAATGATGAAGATTAAATGAGTGATAAGGAGATAAAAAAAATCATGGAGTGATAAGGTTGTGAACCCTCACAATAATTTTAAAATAAATGGAGACAATTTGAGTAACCAAGAAAAATTGGAGACAACAAATTCAACACGAAAAATAGCCCAACAAGATGTGATGATTTTGCATGAACTAACCACACAATCTCGAAAAATAATGTCTTAAACTTAAATTCAAATTCAGGAGCATTGATAGAACTTGTCAAGTAACAGAGTCCTACAGAAATTCATAATTGTTAGTTTGTTATTTGATAGTTGTTGTCTTTTCTTTGGATAAACACAAGTCACAAAAATAGTGAAGAGTTATTAATCTTATTTCATTATAAATAGGAATCAATGTATGATAAGTGCTCACAATCCATGGTCATCGTTCCATAAAGTTTTAAATAATCTTTTATTCATATATATTATTTTTTTTCCTTCTTATATCATTACTAGTCATTTAATTTGAAGGTTATATTAGCGTGTTAAATGTGTTTAATTTTATGAATTACATCTTGAACTCAATGTTTACTTGGAACTAATTTCCAATCATCCATCTGTAAATAAATGAATTTGCAATAAAAAAGCAACCGATGTAAAGTTAAACTGAATCGAAGTAGAAAAATGTAGAACCATAGACAGATGGATGA